ACAGGCGAGGGGCTGCTTTTCCCACGCTCAGCACCACCTTGTAACCCGCCCCCACTGCCAGCCTGGACACCACCAGCTCCGGGCTTGCCCATCGGGGCTGTGCACAATGACTGCACCTGTGGCCCCCCACCCCGCTTGCCACACCGGGCAGTGTTTCCTGCTGCTGCCCGCCTGGAGCTTGCGTGCTGGGCAGCACAGAGCCGCGGTGGTGGCAAACACTGCCTGGCACGGCAAGAGGGGGGTGGGGGCTGCAGTTGCTGCCTCTGTGTGCAGCCCTGACAGGCAAGCCCGGAGTCAGCGTGGGGCCCAGGCTGGCAGCAGGGTTGGGTTACAAGCTGGTGTTGAGCATGGGGGGGAAAAGCAGCCCCTTGCCTACCCCATGGCCGGCACTCCCTGCTGAAGCTGCTTGCAGCCCACATGGGGCTGCCTGTGCCTGCTCTGGAGAGCCCCGTGCGGGCTGTGAGCAGCTGCTGCAGGGAGCGCTGGCCATGGGGCGGGCGAGGGGCCACTTTTTCCCGTGCTCAGCACCAGCTTGTCCCCTGCTGGGGAGCAGGGGGTCAGGGCTGCGCACTGCGCCCCGCCTGTACCACGGGGCTGGGGGGCACTGGGAGTGAGCGCGTGCATGGGGCCCACACTGGTGTCCCGGGGCCAGCACCGGCAGGGCCCGGAGCAGGGCGGCAGGAGTACAGGGTCCCGGCTGGCAGGGGCTCTATGGAGCTGGTCCAGCTCCCTCCTCTCCCCGCTGGTGCATCCTAGCTTGGCTCCACAGACCCCAGTCAGCCTGCAAGCTGCTCTGGGCGGTGCTGGCCCTCGGGCATTAGTCCCAAGATGGTTACCAGGGGGGTGGGGCACCTGTCAAGGGGCGGGGTGGCCCTCGATAGCTTGCCAAAACTGGGTAAGCAGCCCTCTACCCAAAATAACTGCCCGCCCTGACCCATATCCTTAGACCAACACGGCTACAACCTATAACCCGTGACCTTACCATTTACACTTCCGCCTCTCCTCACCTTCTTCCCCTCCTCTCCTTCTCTACCCCTTGTCTTCCTAATTTCCAGCTATTTACTTTTTCACAGACTGCCTCTCTTCTACCTTGGAGAACTCAACTACAGCAGTCTCCCTTGCTTACCTTTGGCATTATTTCTCTCTTGTCTTCCCCTCCCTCCCTCCCTCCTCTACCCATTGTTTTCCTAATTTCCACCGGTTTACATTCTCTCTGACATCCTGTCACACTTTTAGCTTCTCTCATTCTTGGAGATCTCAGAACAGCAGAGACTCCCTATGTCTAAAGAAAGGTGAATGCACCTGAAAGCTTGCAAAGAACTTTCTTCCAACTACTCAGTTGGTCTAATAAAAGATATCCTATCTACCCAAAGAAGCTTGCCTGCCTTCTTACAATTGTGCACTTTAATGCCAAACAGTGTGATCCAAGGCCTCAAACAGTGGAAACAGGCTCGAGTAGCCCTTCCAACCTGCGTACCCTCTGCGTACTAGCGAGGGTGTGCAGATAAGGAATATATAAAGTTGTTACTGTGGAACATAACCTTAGTCAAACATGAAGAACACATGCATAGAAATATAAAGTCTTTGGCTACATATTACTATGAGCGTAGATAGGTCCTACCTGAATGACAATGGGACATGGTTGCATTTTTTTACTTCTTGGTTCAGGCTCAAACCATGTTAAGAATTACACCCTGGTTTTTCTGCTTTTGGTTTTCCTTATTAAACCTGCAACAGCCTTCTCAGACAGAAATATAAGCCAATATGAGGATTTTTTGGATAAGCTCTCATCACGGCTTTTCACTATGAATGTGTCAAGTTATTCATTTAGAATTATTTGTTTCTACTTTCTGCCTGTTGTTATTTTCTATTTATTTGTCATTTATTAAGGTAAAATAAAACATGTATTTAAATTGCTTTCCAATAGGAAATTCCACATTATAAATATTATTTCCATTATTTTGTTCACATGGAAATATATGGTTTGTATATAAACACACACTGATTCTTCTAAACTTGTATTTACTAGAATCCAAGATGAGTAGCGTGGGGAAAGCATGCCTCATCTTGGATCTGAGTACCAGCTCTCTGTCTCCAGTGAGGTCCAGGAGCAAGCAGTCGTCTAGGGCAGGGATCTGGCAGGGCATGGGGCAGCAGCATGCACTGGGAACGGGATGCAGCAGGTGCTGGGGATCAAGCAGCAGCAAGGCTGGGCAGCAACATGTGACAGGGATCAGGCGGCAGCATGGGCTGAGAATGGGGTGGGGGTGCAGGTGAATGGGGCCAGCGGTGGGTTGTGGATCGGGGGACAGGTGGCAGTGCACAGGCATGAGGGGCAAATGGCAGGGGAGCAAGGGGCAGGGGCAGGCTGCCTGCTTCCCCCCCCCCACAGCTGGGGGCAAGTTTAAGAAAACCCTCCAATAATGAGGACTAGATATGGAAACTGACAGCAAGTTATAGAATTATAATGTTATAATTTTCTGTATATGAAATCTACCTATTTGGGGTGGTCACCCTACATTCAAAGCCTTCTTGGATTCAGGCAAACATGGTATTAATTGCAAAAATAAATTATCATAATCGATGCATACTATTCCTTCCAATAACAACACAGAAGACAGATGAGAACTGAAAATCCCAGTATTAGCATCAGTAGTAGCAGTGGTAGGCACCTGCCTGACTCACAGGACAATAGAATTATGCCGAGTGAGGCATCCTCTGGCTGAACGTAATCCTTGCTTGAAAGACACAGCGAGGCTGGAGTGACCTCTCCAGGGCACACAAGCCTGGGCAGTGCATATGGAGACAGCGAGCTGCCCACGCACCAGTATCCTCCCCTCAGCCTTGCTGCTTTAGTCCAAAGGAAAGGCAGGTGCCAGTATGTTTGGAGCCAGCTTGGCTGCAGGGGCTGCCAGTGCAAAGGAGTCATCCATTTGGTGTCCTTCCTGTTTGTGAGACGTTTGTAGAGCAACGACATGGCTTGGGACACTTTCCTTGCTAAGAGCCTTGGAGAAATCTTCTTCAGTGGCTGGTGTCTCTCCACATCCAGCCTTTCTTATTTCTAAAAGCCCAGCTCTGTCTCACCAAGGATGTGGGAACACAAAATAGTCGCCGGTATCCTACGTTACCCCAACTGCTTTGTGCCTGCAATGAGAAAACCTTTGTTTTAGCAAACTGATATGTTTGCAAATATGTCTGACTGTCTTCTTTGGGGGAGTCCCCCAGTGTTGGGGACATGTGGTTTGGGGTGACACAAAAAGGATTTTCACCCATAGTCACAGCCCAAAATCAGCTCCTTTTTTGGGTCAATGTACATATCAGCTCTGGGGGGCCGTCAGTTGAGAGGCTGGCACACAAAAACCAAGCTTCGGGTCAGGCAGGGGCCTCCAAGTCTTCTTCAGGAGAGTCTCTGGGTGGCAGCGGTTTGTGTTTTGGGATTTTGCCCTGTATTACTGGCCTAAACTCAGCTCCTTATTGGGGTTATGCACACAGCACGTCAGCTGGCAGTCTGGTACTCAAAAACTAGACTCAGGTCAGGCTGGGACCTACGCAGGCTTCTTCCAGGAACCCCCCCTGTGGCGGGGATGTCTGGTTTGGGGTGATCGAGGTGGGTTTTGCCCCATAATCCCAGCCCAAAGCAGCTCCTTATTTGGTGCAACGTCCTTAGCACGTAGGGCTGCGGTCTCTTAGGTGGCAGGCAGGCGCACAAACCCTGAGCTTCAGGTGGGAGAGGGGGCTGCCCGGGCATCTCCCGGCGAGTCCCTTGGTGGCACAGACATGTATTTGGGGGTCACCTAAGGAGCTTTTTGCCCGTAACCCCAGCCGAACTCAGCTCCTTCCTCTCAGCAATGTACGTAGTGCGCAGGCCTCGGGGCTGTCGTGTGAACGGCCCTTCTGGTCGCGAAGTTCTCTGCACAGGGCTTCCAGGAGAGTCGCCCAGCGCTGCAGACTGTGGTTTGGGGTGAGCCCAGGAGGATTTCGCTCCATAATCCCACCCCAAACTCAGCTCCGTAGTCACGGGCAACGCATGTAACACGGTGGATCGTCGGGCTGGCATGCGAACGCCGAGCGTGGGGGCAGGCAGGGCTGCAGCCGACCCCGGTGGCGGAGACCTGTGTTTTGGGGTGACCCAGGAAGGATTTTGCCCATGACCGCAGCTCCTCATTCGGGGCCAGATGCATAGCGCACCGCAAAACCGCGCTGCTGGTCGCGTGACCCGTGACCACCCCTCCCTCAGCGGGCATGCAGTTCCCAAAATATGAACATCAAGTCCTGCAAGACCCCGGGGCAGCGTCTGTCCCGGATTCCCCTCGGTCGCCCCACTATCTCGTGCAGGGATCCTCGTTTTCTGAAATGCGGACGCAGGAAGGCACATGTTTGTTTGTTTCCAGGCGACCGCAACGCGCCCCACGTGCCCGGGGCAGCGCGGGCGGACTCGCGGACACCACGTGTCCGCTTCCCGCGCCGCCAGGGGCTGCCGGGGGCGTGGCCGAACCGCGGGGTTGCGCGCGCAGCCCGGCGAGGGTAGGACCAGCGCCGGAAGTACGAGCCGCGGCGCAGGATGTGGGGGCGGGGCTAA